AAAAAAATCTACCGCTTGCTGAGAATTTAACTGAGCGGTTGACATGCAAAACTTTTTCTATTAAAGATCGCCTCTCCGAAGCCAGAATAATCCGCAGTAGAGGGATCAGTTATTCCCTAAATTGTAAGTAGCCTTCAATTTGAAAGTGATCCACCTACACTTTCGCAACGCGTATAAACGTTATGCCGACGACTTCAACATTTTAACACTTAATCACAAAGCTACAAACCTCTCCCTATCAAATTACTTCAACTCTGTCAGGGGCGGATCTAGGATTTTCTCGAGGGGGGAGACATTTTGGTCGACCAATTTTTTTTAGGTCGACCAAATTGATTTACCGAGCTCTCCCAAAGCACTAAAAAAACCATGCTGTGGCCAAATTTTCTGCGCCGCAGTCGAAATTTTCGACAAACAGGCTAAAATTTTGGGGAAAAAAATCTTAATCTTATTGAATGAAAAAGTTTTCATTTTACTCAAATATTTTGCCCCCTCCCCTTTTTAAATCCGCCCTGTGTTTCTTTTCTTTTGAAAACAACCGCAAACAATCCACAACCAATTGCCTGATTCCAACGACTACAAATTTTGCTAACCTGTCAAAATCTAGAACACGCTTCTACCACTTGATTGCCATCTAAAATTTTAGGACTCAATTCAGATACTTGTAAAAAAAATACTTAACCACGGCAAAACTGAAGCCATAAAAAGAAAACAAAGAGCTGCGCTTAAAGCGCTTGCAGGATCTAGCTGGGGTCAAAATAAGGACACTGTTTACCCGTGCAAGCTATCAAAAAAAGCAAACAATCTTCATTTGTAAATGAATTACTGAACAACGTTTCAACCCATTCTAAACGATGTTTGCCGGAATTAAAGATGCGCTGTCGATGAAAAAGGTGACAACTTGAAATAACGCCCTTTGGTAGTATTTTAAGTCATCCATTTTTGGCTGACCAACACTAATATTTGCGGCCATTATATGCAATTTAGTCGTCAACATTTTTCAAAGGGTGTCCTTTTTTGCTGGCCTGTTTTCCGAAATTTGCCTGCAACGCAGAAGTTTTTGGCTCAGAAAATATTTTTGGTCGACCTGAAAAACGTCGAAAAAAACTTCAAAAAAATTGGAGAAACTGCTCTCGCCCTTCGAAAATTTCTTGAGCATGTCAATGAGTTCCGTGGAAGTGCTGTCAGGGTACTATCAGGATTTGAAAGTCTTTTTGAAAATTTAATTTTAAAAACTTAGACCCAAAAAAAAGCGTAGCACCGAGACTATCCCGTCGTCGAAAACAATCCATTCAACCCCATAACAACTACTGAGATAGTCTCCGTTTGTTCTGGAGGAGTTTCAGCTATCTTGAAACTATTAAAACCGAAATTACTGCTGTGCGAGAAACCAAGCTCCACCTTAAAATCAAAACTTACTTCGAATACTATGATATAATTGTCAAAGACCTAGAAAAAGATTGAGGAGGACTTCTCTTTGTAGATTCATTGAAATCCCCTCTAAAACTACCTTCTCTACCCCCTTAGCCCCTAAAGAATCATTAACTATAAACATTCTAAACGAAGATGGAAAATATCAGTCTTAATTATCTGCGTTCCCACAGATACTCCTGCCCTCAAGGTTCAACTGCTTCACAAAACCCCCTGGTCAACGAATCTGATGGACTAACAAAGGAATATATAATTTATCACAGTCCCCTTTGAAATTTCAAATTCCAGAAGTCGACAGAGGTGCTACCAACTTTCAAAATAAGAGCCCCCACCAACGACCCTACGTCCCACCAAAGGCTGAAGTCCAAACTTGCTTGCTTCTCATCAATCATCCTCCCCTGACATAGCTTTCGCCTAGAAATCAATAGATCGGTCTTGTCATGGCGCCCACGAATCCAGGCACAAACCTGCCCCTGCAAACTGAACCAACCCATTTAAATTAAAACGAAACGGCATCTTAAACAATATGCCCCAGTTTCACACATTAAAAAAATACACAAAGGGATAAAACGGATCTTTTCTTACCATGATTTATTTGAAATACCAAAATGGTATTGCGTGAGAGTACATAACTATTTAAATGAAAAAGGGTCCCAGCGTTGCACAAATGCCCCCAGTCTATAAAACTGCAACAGTAACAGAACTACCATTGACCAAATCCACAAAAGTCCCCACCCTCAGCCTCAATTCCCCAAACAACCCCCAGTCGTAAGAATAATTCCCCAAACAACCCCCAGAAAGAGCCCAGTCGTAAGAATAATTGCTCCACTGACAAACTCACATATTGCCCCTAAAGGCTACCTGAATAGCTTCTTGCCTTTCCACTCCACTAACAAAGTACTAACATCACTCAATAATGCAAGATACCTAAGATCAGGGGCAGATTTAGGGGGGACGCCCCCCATCAGGGATTCGACCCCCTGCCAACCGAAAATGTCCCCCTTTGAACTATTTTGACCTATTTTGACGGACCCCAAAATTGTTGTAAAGGCGCCTTCGGCGCCAATATAGACTAGTTTTGAGGGGGGAGCGCGCGCCGAAATAACGCAATTTTTGGTCATAAATTTCCAAAAAGTGCATAAAAACGCTTTTTTGGCCTGTTTTTTCAAAATGTTGCCTGCGGTGCAGAAAATTTGGACAATTCAGGGTCTTTTTAGTACGTTGGGAGAGCTCGGAAAATCAATTTGATCCTAAAAAAAAGTCGACAAAATTTGGTCTTGTATTGAGTACGACGGGGCAATTTAAAAAAAAATCTACCGCTGGCTGAGAATTTAACTGAGCGGTTGACATGCAAAACTTTTTCTATTAAAGATCGCCTCTCCGAAGCCAGAATAATCCGCAGTAGAGGGATCAGTTATTCCCCAAATTGTAAGTAGCCTTCAATTTGAAAGTGATCCACCTACACTTTCGCAACGCGTATAAACGTTATGCCGACGACTTCAACATTTTAACACTTAATCACAAAGCTACAAACCTCTCCCTATCAAATTACTTCAACTCTGTCAGGGGCGGATCTAGGATTTTCTCGAGGGGGGAGACATTTTGGTCGAACAATTTTTTTTAGGTCGACCAAATTGATTTTCCGAGCTCTCCCAAAGCACTAAAAAAACCATGTTTTGGCCAAATTTTCTGCGCCGCAGTCGAAATTTTCGAAAAAAAAGGCTAAAATACTGGGGAAAAAAATCTGAATCTTATTGAATGAAAAAATTTTCGTTTTACTCAAATATTTTGCCCCCCTCCCCTATTTAAATCCGCCCTGTGTTTCTTTTCTTTTGAAAACAACCGCAAACAATCCACAACCAATTGCCTGATTCCAACGACTGCAAATTTTGCTAACCTGTCAAAATCTAGAACACGCTTCTACTTCTTGATTGCCATCTAAAATTTTAGGACTCAATTTAGATACTTTTAAAAAAAATACTTAACCACGGCAAAACTGAAGCCATAAAAAGAAAACAAAGAGATGTGCTTAAAGCGCTTGCAGGATCTAGCTGGGGTCAAAATAAGGACACTGTTTACCCGTGCAAGCTACCAAAAAAAGCAAACAATCTTCATTTGTAAATGAATTACTGAACAACGTTTCAACCCATTCTAAACGATGTTTGCCGGAATTAAAGATGCGCTGTCGATGAAAAAGGAGACAACTTGAAATAACGCCCTTTGGTAGTATTTTAAGTCATCCATTTTTGGCTGACCAACACTAATATTTGCGGCCATTATATGCAATTTAGTCGTCAACGTTTTTCAAAAAGTGCCCTTTTTTGTTGGCCTGTTTTTCCGAAATTTGCCTGCAACGCAGAAGTTTTTGGCTCAGAAAATATTTTTGGTCGACCTGAAAAACGTCGAAAAAAATTCAAAAAAATTGGAGAAACTGCTCTCGCCCTTCGAAAATTTCTTGAGCATGTCAATGAGTTCCGTGTATAGTCAAATGAAAAAATGTTCAAATGAAAAAAGTAGTCTGAAAAAAATTGGCTTAAATATAGAAATGCGGTAAGCCAAGTTCATCAAATACAAAGTGCTCAATAAGGATCAAACACGCTGAATGAGGGAGCAGATGAAAGCTATTAAAACTAGACTGCACCAATTGATATAAAATGTTTTTAGCTAAGTTTTTTTGCTTTCAAAACGTAGAAGCGAATGAAACAAAATGAGGCCGCAAGGGGTGCGGCGGTAAATATTTTTAGTCTTTTTGAATAGCGAAAGCCATCATACTATTGCATTTTTTGCTTTTCTTGTTCATTTTCCAGCCTCTCAAACAATGCGGTCAAAATAAGAGTAAAGTTCCAAAGTAGGTCGCCCAACTACATGTAAATTGATATATAGAAGCATCAGTGGCAGGCATTTAAGCTAATTGGATGATATTAAAAAAGAAGACGAAAAAAAATATCGACCAATTTTGATCGTTTCTTTCTTCTCCTCAATTCTATTTTAGTGCCAGGAGATTTTCCTGCGTTGCCGGGCTGTCAACCTATCGCATCAATGAATTTCTTTGGCTTCTTTGTTAACTTATTTGACAAAATTGCTCAAATCTTAGCCAAATGAATAGTATAAAAGCGAAGAGGTGTTTTTTCATTTGACAAATTTACTCTAAGCATTTGGTCAGAGAATAGGAATATAAAACTGATGGTACAAAAAATAGCTGCCACTGAATAAGAAAAGTATTATAATATTCCACTGGCAAGTTCATTTAGTTTTCACTCTTCTAAACCGTGAGCCGCCCTGTCCGTCAATTTAGTGTAAGAACGCATAGCTGCAATGTTGATTTGACGGAATCAGATAAGATTTGAGAGAATGGGCAATTGTTTAAGGGCTAGTTTTTAGTATTTCCTTATTTCTTCTGCTGACACTTTTGACGAGTTTCTTCGCTCTTATTCGACCAATTTCAAGAAGCGTTTTATTTCTGTTTTTTTAACAATAAATTTGTTCTTCTATAGGCTTTTTAATTTTTATAGTTACTGGCAAGTTATTGTTATAAGTTGTAATTCACTATAAGGAAAGAAAATATTGATTAGAAGGTGAACGAGAAATAATGAAACTGGACAAATTGTGCGTTCGTGTTTCGGTGTCATTTATTAACTTCTGCGAAGTAATCCTGTGGAAATCTCTAATCTGCACCCTGCTGTTATATTTATCGCTTACAGCTGTCACTTATTGTTCGCTGGTACCTTATGTTGACAGACATCTGCTATCGGATGAGGGAGATCAATTTAATGTGGCAGTCAGAGGATCAGGTATGAATAACTAATTGTCTTCATTCCAATCATCTCAGCCATTCGTGTACTTCTATGTTACCTCATAACGAGCCCCCTCTCCCCTCCGCCCGAATCCCTTAAATTACGATAACTAGTCCAACCGGCGAACCCCCCCCCCCCCACACACACACACAATTTGGCATCAGGGGGTGTTGCCAAGCAGATACCTTCATTCGGTAGCTTTATTTATGATTAGGTTTATAGCTAAAAAAAATTGAGGCAGAAGATCGGTTTTCACTGGAAACAGTAGCGTGCCGAGGGGGGGAGGGGTTTGCCACCTCCCTCTCAATTCTGGCTGCCAAAATTTTCCTTTGGTATAACTTTATGACATCCATTTTTCGGTGAACAACCTCAAAACTTTTCTAAAGCCACTTTCGGCGCAAATATGAATTATTTTGAGGGGTGAGCGCGTGTGAAAAAAAAACGCCTTTTTTGGAAAACATTTTCCAAAAATTGCCTAAAAACGACTTTTTTGGCCTGTTTTTTGAAAAAAAAATTGCCTGCGTCCTTATACTATTTTAGGAGAGCTCGGAAAATCAAATTGCTCGACCTAAAACAAAGGTCGACAAAATTTTCGAAAAGCCGCCCCCCTTAAAAAATTTCTGCGAACGTCACGCCACTGACTGGAAAACTTGGTGATTCGAGGTGTTCAGTGATGTCCATTTAAAAAATAAAAATTAAAATTAAAATTGTTCAAGAAAATAATAAAAATTGTTTCCAAAACTATTTAAATTTTTCTTTAGAAATTTAAATTTTTCTTCAGTCTGTTTTTAGCAGTTTTGCCAATTTTGGGGACTTTTCGCAATTATGTGAAAAGAACTCCAAAGCAAGGGGAAAAATAAAGGTTTCGCTTTTTTGGCTCATAGATTTGCATTGACATCAAATTACGTCATATTTGTCATGACGAAATTAATCGATACATTTTGACCTGCCGTGAAGAAAAATTCAATTCATAGGTTGGACCTTTCTCTTGTGAAGCATGTCTCAAAAAGGATTAGACGATGCTAATCACACCGTTTTGTTCATCGATATTCTGCAAAAAGGCTGATTATTATTTTTTCAGTTTTAAAGCCCTGGTTTGATTTGTAATACCATTGCCTAAAATCGCATCCGCTGTTCTCTTTTTGAGATTTATCCGCCATTCTTTTTAGAAAAATTTGTAAAAGGATAAGATTTTCATTTCAATGGGAGTATAGGTGAGATGGTTATTGAGCGAGTATGATTTAGTTATCGTGATGCGACATCATTTCCGCATGTATAAAGTAATGTAAAGATGTGCGATGTGCTGGAAATTCAAATATACAAAGAATTGCAACGCAAAGTCAAATTCCTACCAAAGGGACCGCTTAAATTTATCCTTTGAGATAAATAGCTCATAAAAAATGCATATTTGTAGCTCTTATAAAAAATTATTCGCGAGTGACTGTAATGTGTTTTGAAAGCTCTTATACTTGAATTTTTTTGTAAAAACGTTTTTTTTTTCTTATTAATTTTTTTGGACACAATGTACGATCAAAATTGAATATGTAAAGCAAAAACTTAATTTTCAGAAAACGTAACTTTAGCAATTAATAGTTGCGTCTTGGCTTAACAATTTTCGACTTACCTCGCTGTGAAGTTAGTCTGAAAGGCGAAAGCCAGATTTGTTTTTGAATCCGAAGATCGACTCAAAGTTCTGTAAATAGATATCAACTTGAATAAAGTCTTCTGCATAAAGTGTATCTAAAGTTGCGTGGTAAAACTCCGAGCTTAGCTATAGTTTTTCCCGATCCGTTAATGGTCGGAATTAAACTCTCATGATATTGTGTTGAAGAACTAATAGGAGTTGTCGGATCTCTTCAAGTATTTCCCCCTTTGGTACCTAGTAACGAATTGCCACCCTTACAAAGAACTAATTCAACGGCTGAGCATATGAGAATTTAATGAACCCCCCTTACAATAGGGGGATAGTTAATGAGATCCGAATGGTCTCACAGCCAAGATAAGCACGGTTTATTTTAATGTAAACTAGGTTCATTTCAGTTTTCTTTTAGGTGGGCAGCGCTTCTCGGACGATCAGAAGTCCGATTCGATACAATGTAACCCGCTTATAAACTACATAGCTGTTATTTCCCTTTGCATCACTTACACCGTGTACGTGTTTGAATCGTACTCGTATCCAATCAGGAAAGAATTACGCAATAAAATGACGTTGAAAAAGTGTCTGAGCTTAGTCCGCACATACACTCAGTCCTTTCCGATTATTTGGTGGCGAGCTATTTGTTATCATTACGCTAGACGGTCCAAACAGATCACGTCGGTTCGAAACGGTGAGAGGATTTTGATCACCCAGGAGTATCTGGAACGACTCGACACAAACACGGCGTTGTCGGCTTTCGACTTCTCGCAGTTCCGAGTAGAAGATGTAACTCGGCTGCCACCAAAGTTCAATTCGAAACCAATTACTGAGATTTCGTTCTTCAAGAGTTTCGGCTTTGCGAACGCGGAGGCTGAAAATGAGTATCTAGCCCAGAGGTCCAGTTTTCTGATGGAAAGCGAGAGCAAAGATGATTACATAGAAACATGTGAAGGTGAGTTTAGGTTTCCGAACTAGTTAATCAGATAGCCAGATTTGTTTGGTCGCTGATTCGAATCGCAAAAAAATGTGGCATGGAAAGGGTGTATTTTTTCGATAAATCTGTTTTGAAGCCGAGTTTTTTGATAAATCTGTTTTGAAGCTTTCGTGTTTTCCTTGTTCAGGAATGAACTTGAGTGACGTGGACTTCTTGACTGAAGTTGTCATGTTCAATGAAGGGATGAGACCCTGGTTCATAAGCCACGCCCTCTATTGCATCACCACTTTCGTAGGCTTCTCATACCCTTTTCGCCTCCTTCTAAAGTGTTACACAGTACACGTGGATGTGACCATCGAGAAGATATTCTGCAAGCTAGAACAGTCGGCTAATTTGCCCAGTGGGAGGAATGGCACGCCGCAACAGCCGCAGAGTATGAACAGCCATGAAAATGGTTAGATGTTCAGCCAACCTGAAAGAGATTGCAATTGAAGTTTTATCTTTTTGTTTTCGCAGGAAAGTTTTTGTGCGCAATTTGAACCATAGCTGCATCTTTAGTGCCCATATGGCAGTCTCAGATAAGATTTGAAGGGAATATATGGAAAATTAAAAAAAATGTAAATGAGAAATTTTGATTGTATGAAACTTAAGTGTTCTCAGCTTAAGCATAGTTTTTTTTTTGTAGAATTCTTCAACAACTGGAATCGAGAATTCAACCTTGCTGTCGAACTACCACCTGCCTACTCGGATGCTCTGATGTGGGAACCCACGGAGAAAGGAACCCTCAGCCGCAAATACGTGAACAAATCCACCCAAATGAGTCGAAACCAATCCCTAACTTCCGTTAACGCCATCAAACCGATTGTTAAGAATACGAACGAATCACAAGCTGCGAACTCTTCAAAAGTGAAGATAAAGAAGTCTGAAAGTCTGCGAAGCATTGGCAAAGTTTTAAAATCTCCTTCAACAATGAGTTTTGCCGCAAGAGGGCGAGCTACTGATGGCATGATCAATTCAAAATCGTTCGGACATGTAATCGAAACACTTGACAATCGAACGACCTACTGCGTCCATTTCGATAAAGAACGATGTCTAATCAATGTCGCGAATAATCCATTGCCGCGGTCGTACCAGCAGAACCATAATTTCAGACATCAATGCGATACAGTTACGGAAATGGAAATAAATGGGACATATTTGGAATCAGGGCAACTGACCTCTAATGGTACAGGAGGAACTTCTGAAAACAGATTTGGCGAGAACCAAAGAGTTGCTAAACCAATCACGAAGAGTTTCTCGCTCTTCTCTTTCAACTCGAATAAGCCAAACTTGAAATAGACTTCGTGTCAATCATTTTTTAATTTAACGTTTTTTTCTTTCTTTCTTCAATTTTCTCGACCACCAATGCATTGATTTCATAAGTGTACTTTTAGCAGATGCCTATTTTTGATAGTTAACAACTATTAAATAACCGCGTCTGAACTAAACAGCATGCAAAACAAAGAGAAAAATGAAAAAAAACCAGTCCAATAGGAAGCAGTTCAAAAATAAGCATGAAATCATTATTATTTTAGCTAGTCTATAAGACGATAGAAATTTAAAAAATAACCAGCTAATTAGATCAGTTTGTATGATTTTTTGAACTCTTTTACAGCTGACTGTTTCGAATGAGACTTTTTTGTATATATTCTGCGTAGCGCAGGCGGCGAAAAAATCCCGGCTCAGAAATCATTCTGAACAGAATTTAGGAAAACTCGATTGTCTTATTGATGTGTTTCGAACCATTTGCACGTCACATATTCGTTTGTGTATTCTTTCAAATTTTAATTCATTTTTTGTTGGTTATGATTAGTTAGACGGTTTCTCTTTATAATCATGAGTGTCATAATAGGAGGCACTTAGCATAGTGGTAAGGCGTTCACTTTGAAATTGTCAGATCCTGTATTCGATCCCATGCCATGGCAGTGATAGTGTGTGAGGACGAGCTCTCACTTGACCTCTAGCTTCAGGTCTGCCACAATCTGGCCAATTTCGGCTGGAATGGTACCACGTGAAAGTTCTGGACGCAATAAAACGGCCATGAATCGCAAGAAAAAGAGCTTCGCTCAACAGAATATCTAAATCTGGAATGTGGAGAGATAATAATCATTGACTATCCTCCACAGGACTGTTAAAGCCTACTGATAGCTCCTCTGCGATTCGCAGGAACCACCTTATTATTATAATCAAAAGGAAAAGTTTACAGTCCGTGTTACAAAACCGCGTAGTACATCTATCTATCTATCTATCTATCTATCTATCTATCTATCTGTCTATACTTCTATACTGTATTTAAATGCGAGTAACAGCTATCTCCCATGTTTAAGCATAATAATTTTGCATGTTTGACGAAATTTTTTTTTCATGTTTAATCTATATCATATATTGCAATGCTTAAGAAAATTTTTCAATTAGTTTTTTGCAAGGTCATTATTTTTTCAGTATTTTTTCGAGGCCAAATTAAGTCTGTCTGTCTGTATACCTGCTTTTTTGAATAATTTGATAAGTCTGTCTACCCGTCCCCTAATTTTTAAACTTTCATCTATTATCAATCTATTATCTATTTTTAAATATTTAAAAGCGGGCTTCACTATCTTGCCATGCTTAAACTTTTTCAACCTATTTTTTTGCATTTTAACAAATGAAAGTTTTCACGTTTAAGCTATATCGTATATTGCAATGGTTAAGGTTTTTTTTTCATTTTCCAGTTTAAATTAAGTGTTTATTCCATCAAGTTTGAAAATAGCAACCCAGTAGTAGGATATTGTCAGAGTTTTCCCAAGTTTTGCGATTCTGGCCCCCATATATGAATAATCAAATTCTTTTAGCTAAACGAGATAGGCAATTTTCGAGGTTTTTCAAAAAGTTTCTAGAAAATTTAATTTTAAAAAATTTCTGAATTTTTGAAATTCTCACCCTGTAGATGGGTGCTGTAAGGGTACTCTCAGGGGTTGCGAATCTTGGCTCCAAATCTAACTTCTCAAATCCTTGTAGTTTTCGAAATATGACGTTTTTTTTATTATTTTTTCAAAAACTTAGATTTTGAAGAATTCCAAAACGTTGAAGATCTCAATCCTGTTGTTGGATATTGTGAGGGTACTCTCAGGGGTTGCGAATCTTACCTTTGATATGTATTCCAGATATGATGTTTTTTTTGTGATTTTTTTTTCAAAAAAATTTTCATGAAAATTAAATTAAAGTTTTTTTTTCAAAGTTTGAAATTCCCAACCCTGTAGTTGTGTACTTTCAAAAATTGCGCATGTTTTGCCATCAAAAAAGACTGCTCAGATATTGGTAGTTTTTGAAATCTGAATTTTTTATGGTTTCCAAAGAAAAATTTTTTTAAGAAAACTTAAGGTGAAGGTTCTCAAAGTTTGAATTTCCCAACGTTGTAGTTGGGTACTGTTAAAAATACTCTCAGGAGTTGCAAATCTTGCGTCCAAATGCGACTGCTGAATTGCGTTCAGTTTCCCAGATGTGACGTTTCTTAGTTCATTTTAAATTTTTCGAAGATTTTATATAAAAAGCATCACAAAATTTTATGGTTCTTCAAAATTTGTATAAAAAACTTGAATAAAAAACTTTGCAAAATTTTTAATTACGAACCCTGTAACTGTGTGCTTTCAGAGTACACTCAAAGAATAGTTTTTTGAGTTGTTAAAAATTCGAAGCGCCGGAGGTGCGGTACACGCTAGTATGGCATCAAACCAATCGAGGTCAAAATTAATCAAGGTTACAACTTGTTAGTCAAGCAGTTACATAATCTGCTCATCTAAAGTGAACCAATAGGTTTCAGCGTATAACAATGTTCCCAACTATAGTGCACTAATATCCATTTAGATATGATTGAGTTATTATTAACTTCTTCCCGTTTCAAGCTTTGAAACGCAGATCTTCAAACCGTTAGCAGTGTCAAAAAGTCTCTAAGGGCTTTAAATGTTCAAAATTAAGCAAAAACCTTTATCAAAACTCTTTTGAATAACCAACCAATGCCTAAAAACAGCTCGAACAGCTATTTTTTTCCTTCAGAAATCGGAGCAAAAAGCGCTCTAGTAAAGTGCTCGTATTGTATGTTAACCTATCCTTTTGATTGAATGTTTTTTTTTACCCTTGCGATAAGCAAGAGTTTTGCTATCGGGTACTTGTCTTTTTTTGCCGTAAACAACTTTGTTTTCGATTCAATTTAGAAGAGCGTTGTATAGTTTATGGGTTTTTGTTTTTATACACGCGAAATAATTTCTGTTTGAAAAAAAAAACAACAAAGTTTTATTAAAATTTTAATTAGAAAAAAGCATTAATTGTCAGTTGTTTTAGTGCTGGTTTTCTGATTTATTTTTTTTTCGCCCAAAGGTATGTGCAATTGCTTTTAAGCATCTTTGCGTCATAAGCAGGTTTAGGCTGTTTGATTTTGAATCCCTTCAAGGTGATGGCACAGCGTGTTATTTAAATAACCAAAAATATTTTAAAAAAAAAACATCCATTTCCGGAAAGTTTGTAGTTGCAATTTTGGCTTGATTTTTATGTCTGTGAAGATACTTTGCGAGTGATTCACAAGAGTTAGGGTTGTTGTAGTTTCTCTGAAAATTTTTCGTTGTTTTTTGTTTTTTCATTGTTGTTTTTTCCTTCGGGCACTTTTTTTGTTTATTTTTTGTTGCGATTCGGCTCTCTTACCGTTGCGTATTAACTTAGTTTTTGATAATATTGATGTAATTCAGTTCGTCAAAATGATTATATTAATTTCATTTCAGAGTTCGATAGTCTTTTGTCGCATTTTTTAAAAAAATTTTGTATTCAAGTATTTAAATTTGAAATTTTTGTCCGTGCTTTTTGGTAAAATTTTGTGATCTTGATGGTCATGCATTTTGTTTGGTTCCAAGGTTTTTAGCAAAGTTTCTCATGGTTTTTAAGTGTTTGTATCCCAATTTTTTCGCGACCAAAATTTCACTTTTTTCTCATTTTCATCTGTTAGTTATGAGGAAGAAATAAAAGTAGTTTGTGGAGCCTGAATCATTTTTATTTTTTAAGTAATTGCTTTTTTAAATTTTGCAAAAAGAAGTTTTCAGCTCACGATTCTTTCAACGGATATCAATTGATTATTTCACGTTCCGTATGAGATAGATTATTTGTGACTTTTTGCAAAAACTGCCCTATCAAATCTGAGATAAAGATTTCAATCGGAAGAAGTGGTTGCGCGAATTGTCCTGCAAAAGCGGTTTCTCCTTTGTAAAAGAAAGGTCATGTATTTCGGAAAATTTCAAAGTTTTCATTCTCGCATATTTTAGTGGGAAACAACTAAGGTTTTCGGCAAAGTCCAACTTTTGAAATTACGCATGTCCTGCATCAGTATAGCAAATTCAAAAAATGTCAAAGACGTACCTCCAGCTTTAGCTGTGCCCTTCAGGTGTCCTTCATCGAGACATATGAAAATTTTGGTTTCAAGTTTTTTTTGCACTCATGCTTTCATGATTGTGTTGTATCGCAAGTGGTGCGAAGCTCTGCTTCGCCTCGGTGTATCAACATGTTCCAGAGAAGTGTATCAATCAAATTGTCTATTATACTGGTTGGTTTTAAGAAAGTGTAGTTTTCATTCATGTGGATTAGTTATCCTTTAAAGATGTGGCCTGCATATTTTATGAGCTTAGTTCCTAGATCGCCTCTATGCTAATCAGGAGATTGAAATTGGTAGTTCTGTTTTGTTAAAACTATTTCACGCTGCTGAAAAGTTTTCATGCCTTTTCTAAACTCTTGAAGGTGTAATAATTTCTTTTCTTCATTAATATTCCGTGCGTCACTGTTCCTATAATTGATATTTCTCTTTTTTTTTCCTCATTCAGTCGCCACTGCATAATTCAAATTAATTCAAAAATGGAGAAAGAAAGCGAAATCTTATCGTTCAAAGTGAGAAACTGAGAAATGGATAAAGATTGGCTCACTTTTAATTCGGGGTAGTAGTAGCAAAGATTTTTCATGGTTGACTTCAAAAAATTGTTCTAAGCTTCATTTTAGCCCATCAAACTAGCGGTTATCAGTTGAAAAACCTAACCAGCTTAAGTGGATTTCAACTTAATAATTAGATAAACCGATGACTGAATTAGATTTGCCTTTACATCTATCAAAAACTCTAATGGTCCTTAAGTGGGTTTAGGAGATAAAATAAGTCTGGAAGGAGCTTTCAGTCTCTGGAGGTTAAGGGATACAAGGAAACAAAAGTAATTATAATCAGAATGAAGATCTGAATACGAATGCATTTAGCTGATAAAATTGGAGGTAAGCGCTGCTTCTACTCAAATGGTTAACAGCGACAAGAGACAATTATTAATTTTCAAGATGCATATTTAGT